AATATGTAGGAGGAATGTTTGGAACTAGTTTGTTTTTAAACCAACTTTCAAATAAATCAGCGGTGGTGTCTTCATGGTAATCCGAAGAAGGATCTGTAATAATTTTCGCAGACATAGAACGTCCATTTGAAATCCAACCACCCTTAGAGCCAGCGCGCAAAATAGTTATTCTTTTACCTCTTTTTGATGGCGCGTTTGTTTTATACTTATCAGTTGAGTCAACTCAACCCTGTTCCTGGGTATCATAAGTGTCGAACCATCCAAGTAAATAATTGGCCTTTGTTGTTCTCTGTAAATCCTTTTTTTTTGGATATTCCAGTGGCCATTTCCGAATTCTAAAGATTCCATTAAAACTTGCCTTTTGTCAATTTTTTTAAATCTAAAACCGATGTGTTGAATACACTTCCATAAGGTAGTTCTGCCACATTTAACACCGGTAGTATACCAAACCAAAGAATATTAAACGCAGGTAGGTATAAAATTATTTTTTATTACGGACCACAATTTTACCTGAATTTAAATTCCGAAACTTTAGGTAACAATCTTGTTGCATTATATGTTGGATAATCCCATTCAAAAGCGATTGGTCACTTTCTTATATATATGAACAGTAGTTACATGCTCATACTTGCAAGTTGCTGTGAGCCCGCAAGTTGAACTAGTAAATGGATAAATAAAATCAAACGGCAATGGTGGTTATGGTGATAGCTTTCCTAACGTCGGTTTTATGAATTATTAGGCGATTCGTTTGCAATAACCCTTTCGTGACGATTGATGGCTGTCGATAAATTGCCCAAACGTCGCGCCCCACGGGATCGGTGCAATTAGCTAGATTTCGGCCGCCCCCGAACAAAAAGAAGCGGCGGAAAGCCCGGGAGAAAATTTCCCGCCTTCCGGCTCCGTTTCCTTTTCTTTGCCCCGCGTTCCCCGAGGAAAAGTCTTTCCGCGACGTAAACCGACTTCGCCGTTTGTTATTATTTTTTTTTTAATCTTCGCCAAGCGAAAATGTAGACTTTAAGTTGGTGCTGGTGTTAATAAGGTTCGATTAGACCTCGCGTCGCAGCTTTTGTCTCTCGCGGAACTCATAACGCGCGCCCCCTGGTGTCGGTTTTTATTAAAAACGCACGCTGGGTTTCTCGTTGCTCAGATTTGAATCGCGTCTCCGATAAACAAGACGCCTTCGTATATTTTAATAAGCGGCACTGATTTAATTACCTGCAGGTGTCGGGCTCGAACACTGCAATGCGCCGCATTTAATAATAATAACGATAGATATATACGATGTACGGTCACTCAGTTGCGAGCGTCACAAAAAAAAGAGATGAAGTCCAGTCAGAGCAATCGCACGTCCTAGCACGCCATCTGTATCTTAACGTAGATAAATGTAAAGTTCTAAGCTTCACTCGTAAGGAAGAAACAATCGATTTTCAATATAGAATCTCAAATATTGTTAAACTGAGGATTAGCTTTAATTTGATACAACATTGTTATGATCATGTTTAAGTAACAATACTGTTAAGGCTTTAAACGATAGCAATATGGGCATTTAAAATCATATTCCGTTTCATTTATCCTAACAATAATAGTTATGTAACAAAACTGTAGCCAGCATTGGTAACTATGTTGCCCATTGCTACTAGAATGGAAGAAGAAGTATCCGCGATGATGAACATAACCTGCAAAACATAAAAAAAGTTCTAGCCGCTTTTCATTGCTTTGTTGGCTTTCGTATATCGGTGACTAAATTTTGCATTAATTCTAAATATACTTTTGTCCTTTTTGCAAATGAAGATGAATGTTGTGTGTTCGCTGCGTAGCTAGCAGCTTTCAGCTAATTCCGGTGGCTGTATGTAAAATTGTCGTCAAAAATGCGTTTAAGTGTGTAGCATAATTAGAATCTAGACTATTGTTTTAAAACCTATTTTGTCCAATATAAATTTTAGGACAAGATTCGTATTTCAACCTGGCACCTGATTTTTTTGTTTTTCAAAAATTAGTTCTGAAAGCTATTTTTAAACCACATTTTGACAAATGTTTTGTGTTGTGACATACGCAGAATATTTCACTATACGTGACGTAACTGGACAATTTCGTTGTTGTTTAATTTATTTTTTTATTTAATTTTAATTCATTGTCTGTTCTTTGTTGTTTTAGAAAAATTTTGAATTTTTTTTCTGGACCGAAAAAAAAATGGTTTTCTCGAAAACGATATGTCCGGTAGAAGAAATACATATGTAGTTTAGTAAACAGGGTTGTCTAGTTATGAAATAAACTGAAAATTACCATTTTTCGAAGTTAATCATTGGCCGTAACTATCAAACCGTGGCAAAAAGACGTTTTTCATATAGAATTTTTTTTAAATTCTTGCAAAACACACTTAAAATTGAGATAGTTAAGAAACTGTACGATATAGCCTTTCAAATGGTTCACCCTGTTTAATGACCACTATCGTTGCAAGTTTACATTTTATTAAAACATTTTTCGAAAAATTAAGTAGGATGTCTAGGCGGGTTCCGGGACGCATTCGAAATTGATGTCACGGAATCCACACGACTCTGCTACCCACGACAGTCATTTTTTTTTGGACCGAGGCCGCCCCACACACCTACTGGTCCCGAATTAATGCCACCAGTAAGCCTGGTTTAGGGTCAGTTCCGAATTTCAAAACACGCGAGTCTACGATCGATCAACAGAAACGCTTCCTTAATTGAATCATTCGTTGCGAGAGCAAAAGGTGTCAACGCTTATTTGCGCGACAATTTTGCTAATCGAACGTAATTAAGGAAATGCGTCTTATTATTATTAGCTCGGGTATGGAACCCGATACGCCACATTGATAATTCCGATCGTAGAAATTTGGTTCAAAAAACTGCGAAAAAAGAAGTTTTCAAGGGCGACGCTTTAAGTTCTCCTAATGTTCTTTTACTGAAACTGAAAGTGATTTGCAACCATAAACTTACCAACATTCTTGTCTTATGAATTATTAATGGCGGAGCAGCTGGCAGCGGATTGAACAGTTATCTAAAACTGAAGATATTCCAGCTTGAAGCAATAGCAATTAGACTGCTGTGGCTTCATTTTTTTGCAGTTTCCAAGTACAAAGTGCAATTTAGTAATTAGTCACGGGCTTGTTACTTTCGAAAATCGATTAAATCGAATTTTTCGAAGGTTGGTTGGTTGAAATGATCACCGTCGCAAAAATTTTTTTTTAGTCTGTCCGTTCTCCGTTCTCGTCTGCGGCGCACCCTGTATATTGCGCCGCAAATTCAAAAAAAGTGAAAAATGGGTCCCCCTATTATTAAAAATTGGTTATAACTGAAAGACTATGATTCAGATCTCACTTTCTTCTATACTGCGATATAGCCCGCATAGACAGCAAAAACTTTTGTATTTCAGGTTTTCACTTATTGTACAGGGTGTTCCCGAAATTCCGCGCTAAATGAGAAATGTGTCCTAAATTTGCAGATATCAACTTCAAAGTTAGCAGAGAAGTAAAAGTCCGTATCCACATTTAAAAAATTTTACCAAATATTTTTTTTAAATGTTTGATTTTTTTTGGTAATTTTAACTTCCAGAAAAATATGTTTTTCTCCATAACCGTTCATCCGATTGGGAAAATTATTTAACCAGCAGAAGCAGAAGATCTGGTGCAATAACATTTATTTCGGAAATTTTTTCGATTATATACAGGGTTTTCAAATTATAAGCAAAAATCTAAAAGACCTAGAAAATTGTTCTTTTACAGAATAAATCAATAGCCGCAAATCAAAAATCGTAAAAAATATGGCTAATTGGTTCAAACGGTGTCATAGGCCGCATCAAGAGCTACAATTTTTGTATTTGCGGTTTTCGTCTATCACATACGCTGCTCGGGATAGTTGAAAAAATCCATATTGAAATCGTTATTTCGGTGGCTGTCAAGACGCGATAACGTTATTGATTATTATGGTGCACTGCATGGTTTCAGAAAAAACTTATTTTCTCGAAAACGATTTACTATTTTTAAAAAATTCTTGAACCAGGAAAATCCAGGGCTATAACCTCTACTTCGAACAATAATTGTATCATATACAGGGTGTGTCGTTCATGGGCAAAATATCTAAAATATCCGAAAAGTTTCCGTTTTTGTGGATAAATTATTGGCGATAAATGAAAAACCGTTAAAGATGGGATAATTTTATTTGAACAGTATCGTAAACCGTGTCATGAGAGAGTTTCAAGTTTCGTTAATTACACAGGGCGCGAGATATTTAAAAAAATACCATTCGACAATGCTCTTATTTGTGCAAATTTTAATATTTACCGATGTTTGTTGTAACTTTGAATTTCCACGAGATGTGAAGGATATTTTATACAGGGTTCCATAGTGATCCAAAAGCAATGCGTGCCTTTACCACACGAAACCGCGAAGTTCTTTGCTTTTATAATAAAAAGCTGCTTTGCGCTACGCGCTACGAACTTGCCCCGCCGAGTGACGATTTTTCGAAAGCAATCTTGTGTGTCTAAAAAGTTTTGTACTGGAAAAGCTATGCTTGAAACGTGAAATTTAAAGTCAATTATTATTAATATTATTATTATTATTAATAATTAACGAATTAATTAATGTCAGGCCGTAAAGATGCCAACAAGAGTGCATTAAAATTGAAGGGGCTTCCAAAATCGCGCGAACTACAATCAAATTTGATTTCTTAGTTTACCAATACCACGCGAAAACTTCCCCAGCAACGGGAGTTTTTTCCATTCATTTTTTTTTCTATTCCAGACGGATTACAAGCGCCCCGAACATTAAAAAGTTAATAACGGCAAGTTCGGGAACTATCAGAACTTAGCTCCGGGGTTCTCGGTCCCTCCTCCATCAAACAACACCGTTAAGATTAATAATTTCGACAATGCTAATTGGCGATTACGGGATTCATTATGGATGCAGTTAAAATTTCCGCGGAAAATTACTATACTACTGCTATACTACCGATCTACCGTCTAAGGTTCGCCTCACTCACCTTTCGTGATCCGTCCTCTCCTGTGATAAACGAAACCGGAGTTTTCTGAAAAGCACCAGTCTTTAAACTTCTCAATATTGACACGAATATCACAATTCATGCGATCTACCGCCTCCGATGTAATTATCGCGACTCTACGCGTTGATGCGTTGATTTAAATAGGAAAATTCAATGTTATATTCAAAAGAGACCCTACAACCCTCTCGAAGTGCAAGTACGCCTGGTTCAATAATTTAATCAGATTGATTAAAGCATTAACTTAAACTCTAGGATTAATAATTGAACAATTTAATTAACAATTTCATTTAGTTCATAAAGTTCTAATTAAATTAATGATGTTATTCGTTAAAAAAAATATTAATTAAATAATTAAATTATTAATGAAATGTTGGCCACGTTCAATAATTTACTTAATCAAATTAAGTAAATTATTAAATTAAATTCCAGGGTTATGAATTATACAAATTAATTAACAATTTAATTTAATTCAATAAATTATTAATTATATGTATGATGCTTTAATTAGTTTAATTTAGTTATTGGTAAACATCATTAATTAAATCATTAAATAATAATGAAATCAACTAAATAAAGAGCAGGTTGGTCCCGGTCAATAATTTATTTAATCAAATCAATTAAATTAATAAATTAAATTCAAGGATAGTAATTTTTAAAAAATAGCAACTTCATCAAATATTTAAAGTTTTAATTAAATTAATTAAGTCCTTGATTAATTAAATTTATATTTAATAAATTATTAATGACATTACATTAATTAAATTACGTAAATGAATAATTAAATTAATTCATTTAATTAATAATCGAAAAATCAGCATCCCTTGGAAGAACGATTTTCCATAGTCGGTTTATGGTCTCACTTGAATATAAAATTCATGCTAATCTACCAACTACGAGTTTGTGCTCCGCGGTCAGTGGTCACAGACGAAGGAGATCTTTTCACGCATAAAATTAAGTGTCAATATACGGGAGGAACAAAAAAGCTTGACAATTGCACGATCTAAAAAAAATCAGTTCACGATCTGGGACGCCGCTGACAAGAATAGTTTTGTTTAATTAAATTTGGATTAATAACTAAATTGTCTTCCGCTCGACCACATAATATTCTTTGAAATTCATTCTAAATAAATAATTTTAAAATTCATAAAATTTTATAAAGAACCATAAAAATTTTTTTTTTCTTTCTCTTCGACCTTAATTAAGTAATTTTCTTCATAGAAACGGAATCGTTTAATACAATTAGTTGGGAATTTTAAAAATTTATTAAAAAAAAATTAAGTTTGCCCCCATTAAGCAGATATGCGGATATATATAGTGTTAGTTATAAAAATGGCCCAAAAATTTCGAAATATTAATGTCAAAAAAGAAACGGACTTTGTGGTTATAAGTGGGAAGGAAATCCGAATTTCGTTGATTTAGATTTTCGGGGGAAAATAGAAGGAGAAAGAACTACGAAGAAAGTTGGCGGAGTCCTAAAATTTTGGTACCGAATTCCCGAACGTCCTGTATAAATATGTTTTGTAATATATTTTTTTATTTGCTTTTTATTTACTTTTACTAAAAATAATTATAATGCGAAATTTGGGTCCTCCCCCTTTGCGCCGTGCGAGATTCCGCGACGTTCTCCCCAGGGCGGAGCGGGTGAGTAATTTTTCGCATTGTTTAACGGTAATAAAAACGAATAAAATTTAAAAAAAAACGTCGCGTTTCGTTAGGTTTTTGAATTATCTCGGTGCGCACAATTTAAACGAAAAAACAATTGAAAGAAACCGGGGGCAGGGGGGGGGGACAATTGAAATCGCGAGGGGCTCTGCGGAACTTTATTTGATTTGTTTCCCCCCGGCGGTTAATCTAATAGTACGACGGGGAGGCCATTTTGAAAATTAAAACTCCGGTCGGTTTTCCTTTCTAATTCCGGGATTTTATAAACAAAAAGTAGGAATATAGAAATCGAAGCGATAAAATCGTAGTGCACGGTTCACCAAATATCCGGAGCATTTAAATATACGTGTAAAATGGTCGCAATATGATTTTAAAGCTCAATAAACGCAGCGTAATAATACGTGTCAACTTTACCGTAAAATAATATAATTTAAAAAAATAAATAAATAAAAATAAAAGTTGTCTAGGGACGTTGGACGTTGGCTTTCCTTTAATTTTATTAGAAACAACTTCATAACAGGACTATTCAGATATTTTGTAGTCAAAAGTAGTCCAAAAATGCAAAAGGGTGTTTATAAATGAGCATGAGCAACATTAAAAAAGAAACGAAGAAGAAGAAATAGCAAATGAACCAATAAATCTCAAAATAAATATAAATGAAGAGACGATTTTTTAAATTTTGGGAATTGTTCACTTATTTATTACTGATAAAGTAAATTAAGAAAACTGAAAAAAATAATTATTAATAAAACAATCAAAAATTTACTATTGAAGTCTAAAATGAGGCGGGCTATTGGGGCTATAATGAGAAATAATGAGAAAAAAAAAGCAACAAGGAATCAACAATAGACAATTTCAATTGTTCATTTATATTATCAGATATTTTTTACAAAATTGTTAGTAATAAATGATCAAAAAAAAACGGAATTGATAGAAATATTAAAGTCAAACACGTCAGTCATAATTGGACAGGAAAAATGATTTTTTTGCACTCTTGGGAGAAATTAAAAAAGGTAAATAAAATAAATGAATTTCACATTGTCTCACAATGTTAGAAAAAAACTTTAGATTAAGAACAATTATCGATAGGACGATCGAAACAGTTGTTTAAAAAAAATGTGTTAGAAATAAATAGTAAAACAGAAATGATTGTGGCTATAACTCGGGAAGGAATTTGAATTTAATGAAAAATACTAAGACGAAAAATGAGAAAAAGGAATAACAAATAAACTAAATAAATAAAAATGAGAAAAACAGGCAACTATTCTGTTAAGGTATATTACAATTCGGATATTTTTTTACGAAACTTGCAGAATGAGTAACGTTCAAAAATTTGTATAAAAAATGTTAACAAAAAAATATATATTTGAATAAATTAGTATAAAGAACACTATTAACAGGAATTTCAAATATATGATCTGCAAGACTTGCAGGGGGTAGTTATTACCAAATTAATTTGAATTTGTTGTTTGGAAAATTGACACATTTTTTGCGAAACAAGCAATAAAAGGTAGAGCGGGGTTCATACTGAAATTTCTTTGAATTTTATGATAAATACTAAGAAAAGAGAAGAAAAATAAATAACAAATAAAGTAAATAAATATAAGCGAAAAACAAACCGACAAAACTTCTGTTAAAACGTATTAAATAAATTAAGTTCAGGAAATTCGTATATTTTTTTTACAAAACTTGAGTTAAGTAACTACTAGTAAAGAAAAATGGAAATCAAATGTACAGGAGCAGAAAAAAATTCGTTTGTCACATACAAATTAAAACATTAAAATAATAATAATAATATTATTAATAAATAATTAATTTAATTTGATTTTGCTGTTTAGAAAATTGATTTATTTTTTTACGAAACAGGTAGTAAAAGTTAGAGCGAAATTAATGCTGAAATACTAAATTCTAGAAGTCAAGTTGGAGTAATCACTGGTAAAGAAAAATCTACGGGGGCAGAAAAATATCTGGGTGCGGTCGCAAAATGTACTTTAGGAAAATTTTGAAAAAAATACGACGACAATGGTTGCTTAATGGAGAAAATGGCCCACTTACCGGCGACGCACTCGACGAAGAAAAATATCGCTAGGATGACGACCATCTTGCCGGCCCCGGTCATCGCTACTTTGGGTTGCATGTCGACGGAAAAATAAAAATCGGCAAAAAATAAAGGGGGATCGTGTCGGCTACGCGGCACTACTTGTTGCTCTGGTTAGGGGGGACAGTAGACGAAGCAACAGTTTAAAATTGACTCGCCAAACCGAGCGGCATCGCTTTTATATGGGACGGTCTCGCGTAGGGGTAGTTTTCGCCACGTTCTCTCCCCCTTCCCCGCCCCCCGCCGCCGTACCCGCTCACGCCGGTTTACTCGTCCATTGATAAAACGCGCGGCACCAGCCATTTTGAAATTAAAAAAATAAATAACAAGTCAAAGTTCAGATTTTCACGAAATTAAATATATATTCATATGACAATTGTTTCGACGACACAATGTAATATTTACAAACTACCTGCTACTATATATACCGAAAAATGACAATAAAACCTTAATTAATGTTGTGTTAAGTTCAATAAAGGAGAGGTATTTAAATCTAATCGATCGTTAAGCAATACATTTGAATGTCTCATTTTGTTAATCTCCATGGCTTCCAATAAATCTAATTTTCTACTTTTTGTGGCTGTATGTAAAATATCAAAATTGTAGTCAAAAATGTGTTTTTCTGTTTTCAAGCATAATTAGAATCCAGACTATTGTTTTTAAACGCTCCCTTATGTTCGCCAATGCGTTTCTTGAAGGATCTAACTGTTTTTCAAAAATAAATTTTAGGACAAGATCAGCATTTCAACCGGTAGACACCTATTTTTGAGATTAGGGACATTTCGTTTCATTGTTTTTTTTTTAAATTTTCCTATTGTGTTGTTAGTTCTGAAAGCTAAAGCTGGACCATATTTGATTCTTACAGCTTGTCCGAGTCTTTCCTTAATTGGTATCAGTTCGTCATTTTCTTATATCTATGAACAGACTTTACCTCTTGCCGAATTGGGTTTATGGTACTCTCACTAAATTTTGATGCAGTGTTATTTCTTCTTATAGGTACTTTCAACTCAGACCAAATCATCTCAATCTCTTCAAAATATAATTCTTTTTTCTTCTTTATTTGAAGAAGCATTTGGAATTTTTCTAATTTCGGCTGAATGATGCGAAGCATTATCCAACAGAATAACAGTGTTTGTCGATATTTTTGGAAACAATTTATTTTCAGACCAGTATCCAAATATTTCCGCTTTTTTGCCCTCGAAATTTTTCAATTGCATTTAAACAATCCGCCCTACATTGCGATATTCTTTGTACTTTTTTATAAAGATAATGATAATACAATGCAATGTTCAATTTACAATAACAACATAAATTGAAAAAAAGGAGATGAAAGCAATTAAAATTGTTCCAAGTTCGACCCCTATAAAATAATATATACCAACTATCTTAAAATTATAACTGTAGCCAAAAAAAGAAAATTTTAAGACAGAACTTACTCAAAAATCACTTGCAATTTGCTTGTTGGCTGAACATTTCTTGTCTTTTTTTTTGGAGTTTATTGGTGATAAATCTTTTAAAGATAGAGGAACGGTATTGTAAAGTTATAGGAGAAGCTTCTTTCAAAAAGAGACGTCCCGTGTGCTGGTGGAGAGATAAAACCCCTAAATCTAACGTTCAATCTGTGAACATCCGTCCGATATGTTATTTTGTTTGTCAAGTGAGGAGTACTGTCATTAAAAATAATGTTGTGAAAAAATACCAAAGAGTGTAGTCTACGCCAATTCTGCATATTCAACCACTTAGCATCCTGTAGGTTGTACGAGACTGGATCATATTTTCTTATACCATAAATTAACCGCAAACAGTTTTTTTCTATTCCCTCAATCCTGTATGTGTCAATTTTATCTCTATGTCACAATAGTTAAATCTCTTAATTTAATATTTTGAGCCCCAGACAATAAATGGCGATGCGGAACTTTGAGGAGACGTATCTCTTTTATAAATAATAGCCAACTTGCCCTCTAAAACAAAAATCGGTGTTAATTCTTAGGCCAAGATTTTTTGCACAATTTGTAAACTGCAAAACTCTACCGCTCACTCAGTTTAGACACCAAACGATCCCTAGTCTTTCCAAAAAGCATAACAGATGATTTACTTGGATTAATTATCAGTCCACGACGTGCTGAAAAATCTGTTAGTCCCTTTAAATCTGCATTTATCAATTCTTGAGCTGTCTACCAAGTACTTTTAGGGTTAAAACACTAGTCACTTTATAAGCGTCGTCGATTTGAAAACTCGCGAAGTACCAGCGTCTTCTCTCACGTTCGTCTTGACCGTTTGCAATAATTTTTTTACAGTTACATCGGAACTTTGGTCATGTCACTTGTTTTTATCGCTGCTCATACTTTCCCTTCCGAATTTCTTATAAAATTGTGAACACTCAAAACAATTTGTTTAGCATCCATGTACGGATAGATGAGTCGTTTTACATTCTCATTGACGATATCCTAAGCAGTGTAAATGTAATTAATAACATACCAGTTGACAGCTGGAAAAATTACTGTACATATTTTATGTTATTGTTTTCTCTTGGTGTAACTTAATAAGATCACCTTAATAAACAAAAAAAATTATAGTATTCCCGTTGGCGGGTAACTTCCATAAATGCGGGCAAAGGCCAGAACGATGAACATTGAGAGAGGCTATACATTAAATCTGTCGACAGTTGGACCGTTGCTTTTTCATTCTTATTGACAATATCCTAAGCAGTGAGCGTATATTCGACATTTCAAGGACAGAATTGCCTCAGTAACAGAGTCCTTTTCACTGCTAAAATAGTTTACAGATTTTAGAGAAAATCAAACTTCAAAATGGCCGTTTTATTTCGTATCGTATTTCGTATTAATCCGAAACGTTTACGGGCGATTTTTATTTATCCCCCCTCTCCCGACCGCAATTGATGGCCCATTAAATTATGGCACTGTCTTCGTCGATCGGATTTATTGCGGGTTTGTTTCTTCCCCCCCTCCCACGGCCGACCATTCGTCACGAATCTATTTGTTTATCGTAAAAAGCGGCGAACTTTATTTCTGCTTTATGATCGACGTGATCGAGATATACTGCGTCCCTAGCCGGTCGTTCTTTTTTATGGATATTTATGCGCGATAATCTCACGCGAAATGTGCCGGAATACACCAGAAGTAAAGGCCTAAATCCGGTACACGACTACGAAATGAAATAGCCCCATTGGTATAGTACGACCAAAAATATAGTGCATTTATTGCTTTGACGTTTTAAGTATTTTGCAGTGCCTTAACCGCAGACCTTAGCAGGACCATGGTAAAACCCATCCCAACAGAAGTTTATTCCGCATTAAGTTGGTCTTGCCTAAGATAGATCGTGACGAATATTTGTGGAAATTTCAAATTTTTATTCGAAACGTTTTAAATTTGATTAAACGTCGAAATTAAAAGTTAAAGTTTGGTCAGTCAGATGTCAACAAGGCAAAGAAAAAGTGGCTAAAAATAAGGAAAGAATTCTAAAAGAGTTTAAAGAACAACGAAAGCGCAACACAAATTAGATTTTTCATTTTATCATAAACCTTCACACAAGGACACAATCATACATAACAGCTCAAATCACCCTTATACACACAAAATGGCTGCATTTCACTCTTTTATACACAGACTTCTTAATACGCCACTCTCAACAAAAAATTACAACAAAGAACTGGATATCATTAAACGAACTGCACTGAACAACGGCTACAATCCGTCCATTATAGGTGAAATTATAAATAAAAAATAAATCCAGACAACAGTAAACTCTATTTATCCGAAACCTAATACAGAACACGAACAATTTAATACAATTACATACATAGGAGAACGTAGTGAAAAAGTTTGAAAACATTTGTCAAAATGTGGTTTAAAAATAGCTTTCAGAACTAACAACACAATAGGAAAATTTTTAAAAAACAATGAAACGAAATGTCCAAAATCTCAAAAATCAGGTGTCTACAGGTTCGAATGCGGATCTTGTCCTAAAATTTATATTGGAGAAACAGGTACATCCTATCAAGGCAGACTTGACCATTTTTAAACAATATGGCTATTGTCCAGAAATCGAATGATAATTATTTTTAAACTGAAATATCTCAAAAACTAGATGTTTTCGAAATCAGGAACGTAAGCTGTACGATCTGAGCTAATAATATATAGGGCATTCCGCTAAAAACACATGATGTTGACGTCATTTTGGCAGCTTGCGATCTTCGTTTGTTTTTTCTGACATCCACATATGATGATAGAGTAAAAATCTTCAAACTTTTGTATTTACACTTTTTTTCTATCTTTCAAAAGGAACGCTGCAGGTGGATTTCAAAATATAGTGAATAGCCCTGTACAGATTTTCATCCTCAGGTTATTTAATTGTAAAATTAATCGCGGGCAACGCCCGGACCTGGAAGGCGGTCGTCGACCACCCTAAATCAAAAGTTTACGATAATTTACAATTTTCCGGCAATCAAAGGGGACCGACAAAGGAACGACGGCGTCGGACACACGAAACGTTGTGTAGTTTCTTTTTGGAGGGGTGGGGGGGTCAGCGACGGTCATACGTATTTTTATCACCCCCCCCCCCCCCAGCCCAGCCATTTCCCATTCTCATAAACGGAAATGCTCGATTTTAATTTATTTTATTCCACTGCTCGACTCGTTTACACGTGAAAATCAATCGCGACACGCCACTGGTCGCGAAACGGTTTCGTAGGTATACGGGGCGCCAACAAAAAGTAGGTGCGACGCGTCTTATCCTCGCATTTGGAATTTTCGCTGTTAATGTTGATAGCAAAAAAAAAATAGTCCAAATTTTGTGAAAAGTTCCCTTGGACAACTTCAAGCTTTTTTTTTTACGCTATTGAATTTAAAATTTCGAATAAACAATAAATTTAATGCTATTTCAGGATAGGTATCAACGAGATTCAAGTACTTTATTTCCCGGCCGGTGGATTGGCAGAAGGGGATCGGTACCATGGCCCGCAAGATCTCCCGATACTACTCCGGTCGATATTCTCCCCCGTATTTTAAAATACCACAAAATTTAGACTTTTTGGATGGATTTCGACTCTCGCCAAGTGTCCGCGGAGGACGTTCAACGAAACAGGAGACTTTTCGTAGCGCCCCGTG